CTCTGCAGAAGGCAGGGCAGGAACCTGCAAAATGGCAGCGGGGGCATCTTTTTGCAGGGGAACGCCCCATGGCTGAGGAAAAGAACAAGACCGTCACTTTTGCCCTTTCTGGTGTTCCTCAGAAAAATGGCTATGGAGGCCCTGGTTGCCTCTGAGTGAAACGTTTGTTTTACCCTACGGTTCTGCAGAAGAGTTTCAATCGCCTCGACAAAGACTTCCAAGCCCCTTTACACAGCCTCTTCCCAATCTTCTGTCAGGTTGGAAGGAATAAAGGCTCTGATTTAACACTGGCATGCTAAAGAAATTAAACCAAAGTTCAGCACTTTAAGAAATGCTCAAATATAGAGCCATTGATCCCTGGTATTTGCTCTAAATTGCAAGATGGTTCTGTCCACACTCCAGAACCTACCTAAATTTCAGTTTTCTGAAACTATCTGGCAAATGCAAAGAGATGAGCATGGGGGGAGAACCTGGTACGGATTTTGATGTTTGCAGCTGACGTCTATATAGAATTCTCAAGCCCCCCCCCTCAATTTTTAAAATATGTAAACCAAATTTTTACAGTCTACACAGTCAAAAAATATGCCTAAAACACATTTACCATTTTAAAAAATCTACCCCCTTCCCTGCCAAAAAAAGAAAGAAACTGGGGAAAAAAGATGTTGACTTTGTCTGTTGTATTATACTGTCCTGCTCACTTTGAATCTCAACCATCAGATGGCTGCTTGGCCTTAATGTAACAAATACAGTGGTACCTCGGGTTACAAACGCCTCTGTTAACGAACTTTTCGGGTTACGACCAGCTCCAGCCGCAAAAATTTACCTCGATTTGCAAACTCCGCCTCGGGGTATGAGCAGGATGCGTGGCCATTTTCCCTCCCGTGACACAGTCCGCGGCCATTTTCCCACCCCTGACACATGGTCCGCGGCCATTTTCCGCCCGACACGTGGTGCGCGGCCATTTTCCGCCCCTGACACGTAGTCCGCGGCCATTTTTCCGCCCGACACGTGGTCTGCGGCCATTTTTCCGGCCCTGACACGTGGTCCTCGGCCATTTTCCGCCCGACACGTGGTCGTAGGGAGGGGGCTCTCCCTCCAAGCAATAGCCGCCTCCCTGTCCTCCACGCCAGAACAGATTAATGGTAATTACATTGAACCTTATGGGGAAATTTCCTTCGGGTTGCGACCAATTCAGGTTGCAGCCAGAGTCATAGAACAAATTAAATTCGTAACCCAAGGTTCCACTGTATATAAAACAGCATTCAAATGAAGTAGCGCTCGTGTTTTTGGGACTGAGACCTATTCAAGGGAAGATTTCACACAAAACTCAAGGTGTCTGGAATATCTCTCCTGCATACATTATCTCCTTCTGGATCCTGCACATGAAGTCAAAATTCTAGAGCAGATTAGTTTACTTACTTTTATCCAGTTGATCTCATATGGATGGTAATATTGAGAAGTAATACCATGTATGACGAGCTCTGATATGCACAGCAGGATACCAATTAATGCCATTATAGCACTTGTGATATTCATTCCTATACTGCATTTCACCTGAAGGAGAACAACAATAAACCAGGGGGAGAAAAATTACTATGACAAAAACATTTCTAGGTTGCTATTAACACATTCTAAACCAAAGAGGATGGGGGAGAAGAAAGCAAGCTCTCTGCCCAGCCATAGGAGGAGGAGGAAGGTCAGAGGTCTGGTTCAAGATTAGAGAATGCAAGGACACACCTCTCTGCTCATCACTAGCTCCATTTCTGGTAGCAACTAAGGAAGCCCGGTAGAACAAGTAGCCACGTCATGGTCATTGGCCATTTCAGGCTTTTCTCATTTCCATCATATACTGACATGACCTGCAGTGCTGCAGACTGCACATCATGAAGGGAACTTGAGAAGAAGAAGCCCATTGCAAAACGGGGACCAGGACAGGCTCTAATTCTGGATGTTTCAACATCCTCCACTGCTGGGGTAGAACTTTCAATTGGAAGCAAGGCTTGGGATGTTCAACAGTTGATCAAAGCAGGAAGTGGAGTTGGTGGGGCTCTTGGGTTTGCTTTCCTTTCCTAAATCTTGACTTAAGACTGAGCAGTATCTGAATACAAAAGACAATGTAAAGGGCCTGGAATGCTTAAGAAGAAACAGTATAAAAGAAATTCAAATGCCATATGGCTTTCTCACCAAAGTACGGTTTTGACGTTTCTCAGCTGCTATACATAGTGATCCAGAAGAAATGAACTATGCAAAAAGAAGAGGGGAAAAAATATTTGATTGTAGTCCACTGGAAATGTAAAAAGGAAATTAGTCTCAGAAAATCTGCGACCTATGGGAATAGTCTTATTATAATAGTTGTAGTTTTTTAATCTGGTTATTGTTTTTTTAACTTTGTGAAGCCACCCAGAATTGTTTTGGATTGCTAGAATGAAGCAAAGCTTTGGAGCTTCCTGGAGCTGGTTGCTAGGATTCCAAATAAGAGAAAGCTGTTTTGTCTTCCACTCAGATATGCCAGTTGAGAACTCAAGTGGGGCTCCTGAGAGACTAGAAGAGTCTTCAGTGGTTCTGCACATTATTTTTAAAAATAAATCAAAGTGCTACTTTTCCAAAATCTGGCTCCCAATTCTTCTTTTTTTCCTTCCATTTCCTACAAAAGAGACTTCTTTTCTACAGGTAGTCCTCAACTTATGACCATTCATTTAGCGATGTTCAAAGTTACAACAGTGCTTGAAAAAGTGACTTACAACCAGTCCTTGCACTTTCAACCATTGCAGCATCTGACAAGCAAAATCAATTTACAACCATTCATTTTGCAATCGTTTGAAGTTACAGTGGTGCTGAAAAAAGTAACTTACAACTGTCCTTGCACTTACGATCATCGCACCATCCCCACGGTCATGTGATCAAAATTCAGGTGCTTGGCAACCGGCATGTATTTACAACAGTTGCAGCAACCCAGGGTGATGTGGTTGCCATTTGCAACCTTTCCAGCTGGCTTCCAACAAGCAAAATCAATGGGCAACTGTGTGATTCACTTAAGAACTGCATGATTCGCTTAACAACCGTCACAAAAAATGTTGTAAAATCGGTTGCGGTCACAAGATGCCTCGCTTAACAACCACACCGCTTAACAATGAATTTTCCCTATTCCTATTGTGCTTGTAAATCAAGCACTACCTGTACTTCATTTTTCAGATTCATCAGAATGTTTTCCTAATATTTTTAGGTGGCATTTGGGAGCCTACTATATTCTTGTAATGTGAAACAGCAATGCGTTCTCATATATTACTCAGATGCCTTTTTGTTTCAGTCCCCATGGACCATCTCTCATGATGTTTTCCCTTGGGATTTAACTGAAATATGAGAAGCCAGGGAGGCTACAATGCAGACAGGACATCTACAGGTATCCCTTAGCTGTTAATACAACGTAAGTACCCTCAGTAAATAAAGAAATTGGGAAAGCCCTTGAGAAAAGAGCCTGCATTGTATGTGCCTGTGTGTGACTCCAACCAAACAACACAACTTGGTTACAGTATATTTAATCTCAGTTTATTAACTAGGAAAATTAATTTATTACATTAAATATACCACACAGAAATAGTGCATGACTGAAAAGGAATTTGTACATACTTACAAATATCCCTCCCCAAAAGGGGTGACCTCCAGCTACAGACAAGATAATGTAGCCAGAAGGAGCAAGACAAAGTGAGACAGCCCCAATGCCAATGTGGATCAACCCAATCATGATTTGGACGGCCTACAGAAGGAAAATGTTCAAAATAAGAGAAATTAGCTCTCTGAATCTGAAAAAGACACACGCTCTAATTTGTTAGCACCACTGGAAAAGGATCACTTTGTATCCACCTTTGAAAGATCCTTCCCTCTTTCATTGGTGCTGGGACTTCTAGTCTTCCAGTGCAGCTGTTTACACAAGGCCTGGTTTTTCTGTGGTGAAAAATCCCAATAAGGGAGAAGCGACAGTCTAAGATACCTATGACAGTATGTTCTGGACAATGACTCCAGATTAGGATCTCGTTTGATATAGAGTGGGACTGCTATTGTCAAGAAGAATGTCTGTCAGAATATCAAGATGGGTCTTTGTGAGAAGAATATCACCCATCTCTCTACAGAGCTACAGGAGGAAGCTAAGGACAGTCATAAGCACAAAGTGCCTTCAGTAGTCTTGGGCCGGAGCCAATCTATGACCAGGTTCTTCTGGTGGAATTCCCAACAGTTGCACTTCCCAGAGGGAAGGGATAAAAAGAGATCCAGCTAAAACTATGGCTGAGCTCCATTTTCTGTTAAAAAGCAAAGGAAAGGAATGCATATCTAAGCTGGATTTTTTCAAGAAACACAAAAGAAACTATCAGTAAGAACAGACCTTTCTGGATCATACTCCAGAGCCAGACAATGCCCAAGCCCAGATCTAGAACTTCAGATCCCACCCAACACAGGTCACAAGTCTCCACACAGCTCTAGAAATACTGATACCTTAATGGATTTCAAACATAGCAAACATGCTTACCCCAAGCACTTTGGCCTCTACATTGAGGAATTTCTCCAAAGCACCCCTTTTGGGGACTTCTCGAGGAGCAATATAGGAAATTCCAATTTGCTGACCCCCATACTGTAGATATGGTATTGCTCCAGATGTTTGAACAACAGCACTGGGAATCCTCTGGGCTGGGATTAAGTTAGCTTCATTAGATGTTCCACTGGCCATTCTTGTTGGATGTATTGCTGTAGCTAAATTACCTGCAAACAAAACAAGCAAGGAAATATTCATGTCTTAACATCAAGAAGGCACTATCTGGTCCTTCTCCTTAATCTCAAGATACCCTTTCCCTCCAGTAAACTGCAGAAGATTGCCTGCAGGTTTCAGGAAGCAGGGTTGTCTTCTTGCTTACATTCCAATTTTCAGTGCAAAATCTGTCTTGTTAATCTTAGCACCATCTCAATTCCACCCAGGCTAAATGGCATCTCTCATTTTGGCATGGTTTTATTGTGATTACCCTCCTGTCCTGTTAGTGGCAGGTCGATGTAGTGGTACCAGGCATGGATGATCATCTTTATTGCCATGTTCCAGTAAGCTCCTACTGATTTGGGCAGAACAAGTTAATGTGAAAGGCACGGGTAGGGATCTGTATCCCAGCTTTGCTTCACCGATGGACTGAGGTTTCTTACCAGAACAAGCTGGAGCTTTCAGACCTGGATTTCCTAACAAAAATCCGGACAGCGCCCAGAAGGTAGTGAAGCAGCAAAGAACTCCACTTGTTTCTGGCACTTAATCAATCAGTCTCTTATAGATAGACATTTTGGTCCTATCACACAAATATCTGCAGATAAATGGGAGGATCATTTCTATAACATCTTTCAAAGGGAATCTGCTGTAATTTCAGATGTGATTCCATCTTATAAAGACCTCCCAGATTGGCCACCAGTGTCCATTGCTCAGGTTAAAGATCTTATTGCTCAGTTAAAACCAGGTAAAGCATCTGGAGGTGATTTTATCCCCCCCCCCTCCAGAATTAATAAGGGAAAATAAAGATTGGTGGGCCCTGGTAGGCCAGACATTAGTAACACAAGAAAATTTCCATCTGATTGGAATCAGGCCATTGTTGTACTTATATTCAAAAATAAAGGAAATAGACTGGACCCTACAAATTATAGGCCCATTAGTTTATTAAATACAATAAGTAAACTTTATGACAGATATCTGTATCGAAAATTAGTGGATTAAGTACAAAATGAAAATATCATTGCTGAAGAACAGGCCAGATTTAGAGAGGAACGATCAACATTAGATCCTTGTTGGGTCTCCTGCATTTGGCAGAAAAATATTCTGGGCCCCCTCGTGACTCCCTTTTTGCAAACTTTGTTGATTTTAAGCCAGCTTTCATCCAATACCAAGGGAGAAACTGTGGATAGTCTCAGACATTCCACTACTGAAAAAAGGCTGCTCGTGCTTATTCAGTCACTTTTTTCAAACACCTCCCTGAAAATTAGATATACCCCTTGGGGACATTTATCTAAAGCAGTCCCAAGTTATAGAGGTATAAGACAAGGTTGCATATTAGCTCCATTACTTTTCAATTTATATTTAAATCCAATAATTCAAGTGCTTGCTGTTCCAGCCCATCATCCACCCATTTTGGCTGATCGTGTGATCCCCGCACTACTGTATGCCAATGATGTAGTTATGTCTACTTCACAGGTGAGAATGAGAAAAGCACTTAGGGCTCTAACTTTATTTTGCACAGAACATAAGCTATCAATAAATTATCACATAACCAAAGTCCTAGTTTTTGCCTGACACTGTCATAAAATTCACAAATGACAAATCAATCGGACTCCAGTTGAACAGGTGCGCATCTATAAGTATCTTGGAGTGCGGTTCCATGCTTTCTTATCCTGGAATGCTCATTTTTTCTCCTGGGAAAGTGTCACACAGTGTATCTCTCCAGCTATTGTAAGATTTTACCATTCAAAAGGAGTCCATTATATCCCTGC